TGACACCGGGTGACACTGCGGGACACCCTGGTGACACCGCGGGAGGCCGGGTGACACTGTGTGATACTGGGTGACACCTGCATGTGACACCGCGGGATACTGGGTGACTCTGTGTGACACCCACGGGTGACACCGGGTGACACCTGCGTGTGACACCGCGGGACATTGGGTGACATCATGGGGCACCCGGTGACACTGCGGGATGCCGGGTGACAGCGGGTGACACCTACGGGTGACACCGGGTGACACCGGGTGACACCCCCACCCCGGTGTCACCCCCAGATCTGCGTGCGGGAACCCAGGTGCAGGTCATCGAGGTGCACAAGTACCAGGTGGGTTGGGGACACGGTGACAACGCGGGGACGGGGTGACAACGCGACATTGTGGTAGATACTGGGACAACGTGACACCGCAACAACGTGACAGCGCGATAATATGACAATGGGACAATGTGATAATATGGCACTGCAACAACGTGACAATCTGAGAATGTGGGACCGTGACAATGTGACAACGTGACAATGTGACAACGTGACAATGTAACACTGAAACAATGTGATACTGTGATAATGTGATACAGCAAAATCACAATAATGTGACAATATAACAACATGACAATGTGGCATTGACGCTATAACAATGTGACAGCGTGGCGCTAACAATGTAACAATGTGATACTGGGACAATGTGACGCTGTGACAATGGGGTAGTGTGACACTGGGACAATGTGACAACATGTCAAGGTGACAAGGTGACGCTGAGACAATGTGGGACACTGGGATAAGGTGACACTGGCACTGTGATGGTGTGACAATGTGACAATGTGACAGGGGGACAATGTGACACTGGGACAATGTGACGCTGTGACAATGGGGTAGTGGGACACTGGGACAATGTGACATGGGGACAATGTGACACGGGGACAATGTGACACAGAGACAATGTGACACTGATACAATGTAACACTAACACTGTGGCATTGGGACAACGTAAAACTGACGTGACAATGGGACAACGGGACAACAAGGTGACACTGGGACAATGTGACAACATGATAACGTGACAAGGTGACACTGAGCCAATGTGACACACTGGGACAAGGTGACACTGGCACTGTGATGGTGTGACAATGCGTCAATGTGACAGGGGGACAATGGGACACTGGGGTAATGGGATACCGGGACAATGTGACACTGGGACAATGTGACACAGAGACAGTGTGACACTGGGACAATGTGACACGGGGACAATGTGACACTGGGACAATGTGACACTGAGACAATGTGACACTGAGACAATGTGACACTGAGACAATGTGACACTGAGACAATGTGACACTGGGACAATGTAACACTAACACTGTGACATTGGGATAATGTGACACTGACGTGACAATGGGACAACAGGACAGTGTGACACTGTGACAATGTGACACAGAGACAATGTGACACGGGGACAATGTGACACGGGGACAATGTGACACGGGGACAATGTGACACGGGGACAATGTGACACAGAGACAGTGTGACACTGGGACAATGTGACACGGGGACAATGTAACACTAACACTGTGACGTTGGGATAATGTAACACTGACGTGACAATGGGACAACAGGACAATGTGACACCGTGACAATGTGACGCTGAGATAATGTGACACTGACACAATGTAACACTAACACTGTGACATTGGGACAACGTAAAACTGACGGGACAACGGGACAATGGAACAATGGGACAATGTGACACGGGGACAATGTGACACGGTGACAATGTGACGATGTCCCCCGCGCCGCGGGTGTCACCGTGTCCCCGCACAGGAGTGCAGCCGGCCCCAGATCGGGAAGTGGATCCGGTGCCTGGCGACGGATTCTGATTGGATGGTGACGAGGGGGGACACGAGGGGACATTGGGGACATTGGGGACATTGGGGACATTGGGGACATTGGGGACATTGGGGACATTGGGGACATGGGGGACATTGGGGACATGGGGGATGTTGGGGACAATGGGGACATTGGGGGATATTGGGGACACGAAGGGACATGGGGGGACA